CATGGGCTCTCTACATGTGTAGACAAAATTAGACTCAAAGTCCGGTTTGCTTTATTTTCTTACTTTGCAGTTGCATGAGATACTTTTCCCTCCTTAATTTTCTACTTGAAGTAGACAGGTAACTCACTGGACCTATCTGTGCTGTTCAACTAAACTCAGTCGCTAAGGGATGCTCACCACTACCCTAAAAAGTCAGGAGAACCTCATAATCGACCGCCTACTACAAATGTTCTTGCATCTATGGAGCCTGTAACTCATCAACAGGTTAGGATAGCACAAAATAACATCAGCATCAAGTTGACGTGAATTCCTTGTATATTTTTCATCAGCTTTCTACTCTACTGTACATTATGTTGACTTATCATTAATTTTACTACACCACTCATTACCTTATCCACAACTCGTATATTCCTATAATTTTCCGCCTCCTTTGGTAAACAACTATCCTACATTATACCCCCCTTAATGCTTATACTCCGATTGGCAGCCTATACTCCATACTATAGTCAATTGAAGCATTGCATCGATGCCTCACCCACGGTCCATAATTCTTAACTGTCTGATAAGCTTGTAAGATGCTACTCATAGAAACAGTGTTTTACAACAGTATGTAAAACACAGAGCATCGTATGAGGTATGATATGTATCCAAAAGTATGCTTAATTGAGCCTAACATCGCAAAAGGAGGGAGGGTGGAGTGACTGACCAGCAAGCATTGATGGTGAGGGCTACGACTTCAATCCACCCATGTTCGCGGGGCACAACATTTTGTTTATATCAGGCTTTTCATGATTCAGAACAAGTCAATCAATCTGTGATATTGAGGTAGTCCTCCTACACTCACTATTCAGACTCATGTTACCAATATTATGCTGGATTAGTTATTCTATCAAGACAACCTATAACATACTAACTCAGATTTTTACACTAGGACAGTGTGGTTGGTGTCAGATGAAAAAACTAAAAAATATATCGGGCATTTAAAGATATACTTATTGGTTTTCTTAACACTTAGCTCTCTTGATGCACTTTCTGTTCTAATAAACATTCTTCCCTTTTCTGACTTCGACTTCCCTTCCATCATTTGAACCTACTCCACCTTGTTAAGTATCATAACTTATTTTTCTTTATTATTGCATTCTCTTATCTGGAGATTCTAATCACGTTTACCTCTAGCAACAATAGATAGTGTGAACTTAACATATTTTATCATACCACCGTCTGTTCCACTACAAAATGTCAAGGATTTTTTAGCGTTCATATCTAAGTGTCTTGCTGCTTCTTTTCATTTTTTCAGAGTCTTGTTATGAAGGCACTTTGGAAAATATTTTGAAGACAGTACTGTAATAATCAGAAGTATTTGAATTGTAGTATAAACTAGTAATCCCAGGAATAAAGCAATTTAATCAAGAAGTATTAGATGAGCACAAACGAATGTATTGTATTCGGAATTCAAAACTACAACAGTCATTAATACAAAGAAGTCATTGATTATTTAAACATAACAAGTACTCAAAGTAATACTAAAACATAAACCTAATTATAAACGCTCCAAAACATCTGCACGAATGTTCTGTTATTTACTTTTCCTGATTTCATCTATTTAACGACCCTACTTGAGGAGCATGCTGTAAGGCAACTAGCGTTGTCATTTGTAGATCATCCCTGTAAAATTGGAGTGTACCTGCCCAGGCAGAAATATTTATATTATAGATCTATACAGGCGTGGTCAGCCATCTATCTAACTGATTGAAAGTCGAAGTAGAACGTTTGGAACTTTTCTTGCTTATTTTATTTCGTTTCTTCCTACTCATCTTAATATCTGGAGTCTACTCATGTTCATATTTATGGTTATTATTATTATCACACTAGATATTCTTTCCGTTCCTTCTTTTTCTTCCCATTCTCTCTTCTCCTTCCAAAAGTATTTTATTCCTGAAAGTCCAAAGTTTATGAACAAAAACACATTACTTGTGTTGTACTTAAATAAACTAACTTTTTTTCAGATTCACTACGTTTATATGATTCATAAATTTTGACATTAGATTATCCTTTCCAATTAGCTTAAACTTTCATATCATCATTATGAACCACTGCTGCACAAACTCTGATTCTATAGTAAAATCTTACTGAGATAATGATATATTTTACAGTTAATTCATTTATCTTCCTTTTCATTTTCCCTTTCTTCCCTTTCCTATATTATTCATTTCGCGACACGTACATCGCCTCTTACTCTTAATCTGTTTTCACAAACACGTTTGTTATATTACTTTCCCATTTCACGTTTACATCCTTCATTTTTTTCTCTTTCTTCTTTGAAGTCAACTCACTGTTCTCCTCGATTCACGGGAACCTGTTTAAGTGTGGAAAATGTTATGCTAACATTTTCGAGACTCGTGTATTACTGCATCTCTGAAGAAACACAAAATATCTTCTTCACAACACTTATTTACCAATAAACTGCTTGTGAATAACAATAATAATAATAATAATGACAACAATAATTTCCCTTATTAATGCTTACGTACTGTTTCTTACTGTTAACAGATACTAGGATGTTAGCAATTATCAATAATTTCATTCGTGTATGAGCTCGGGTTGTGGCTCTCATCGTCAAGTGTTCGTTTGAGCTTGTGTTGGGTGACTTCGGTATACAAATGGGGATAAATACGGTTGCTTTCGGTGGGATCTCACGCTTTTCTTTTGTTAGTCCTGGTGGTATCTTCACACTGTGGGAAAAGGTTCCAGAACCACGAACAGGAGTAGTTTAACATAAACCCGTAGTACTTCGTAATTACTGCCATATCATAGCAAAAGTGAACATGCGGAATTATGACCTAGTTCCATATTAGCACATTTATCTTTGTCACTGTATTAATAAATCTAATCTCAGAACTGTAAATTTACAGATAGAGATTTGGGGGTACAGAGTGAAAGTGTTTTCGGTAGTTTAATATACACTTCATCGGTCCCTATAATTTATCCTACCCTGGGTTTATTCGGCATGCTCAAGGCATCTGTCTTTACATTGGTCACGATATCAAGAATGTTGATGGCAGTAAACCATCACTTGAGTGTAATTTTCGTAGTTACTGATTATTCGGTAAACAGCTTTTCGGGAATACAGGTAGTCCTGTAGTCGTGATATGATGTGTAACATTGCTGGTTACACATGGCGATTCCGGTTGCATTTGGTATATCTCAGGGTACTTATCGAGTATTTGTTGGTAGTATGGATTTATTGTATGTCTTACTGTGACCGGGGATAACCCAAAACCGGAAAAAGAAGTTACACAAAGAGGTAAATCAGTATTTCCGTCTACTTACCTCAGTTTGCGCATGTCGATGAGTAGATTATGATGTTGTAGTAGGTCTATAACAATGATTGGCGTAGAAACATCTGCAACAATGAAGATCCAGTAGATGGATTTGTGTAAACCAGTGTTAAGATTGACGCACCACGGGGTTTGTGATCGTCTACGGTCATTGCGAATGCGAAGGTAACATGTTAGCGTATGACATAGTTTCGTACGTTCATTCCTTGTCATTTGAAGCTTTTTTTTGACTGAAGTGGCTTCGACTTTAGAAGATTTAGTGATTTTAAAATACGGTTGTCAGATGCAGCCAGCTCATATACGGCGTTGCTTTGAAATTAGATCAGCACAGATGGCACTTGTTGAGGAAGTTTAGACAAGAAAAATTGTCTGAATAGGCCATCATCGAAAGTTCTTTGACCAATTACCTCTCTCATTCGTAGCAACATGTCTGTCGCAGAACCATTTTTCAGGTCGATATTACTAAAGAGTTCATCTAACTTTTGTCGATGGGTTAGATCTCAGCGTTTCAGAATCGACCGTTTTAGGGTTTCTTAAGGTTCCGAAACATCACAAATAAACATACTAGGTGTGATGTACCTGTTAAATTCACGCGGTAGCGCCTTTACAACCGCGAAGAATTGTGTGCGTGAATCAGTCATGCTGTGCTCATATAAATGGGCTTCGGCGTAGCAGAACCAGGCTTCGATGTTGTCTGACCAGAAGGAAATTAGTTGGAACGAAAGTGGGGGTATAGTCTTTAACTTTAGTACCTTGGCTGTCTCTTCCTTCATAGTGGAAAGTCAAGTATGAGAATGAATGAGGGAAAAACATCACAATATATAAATGTTAAAATAAAGCAATGGATTATGACATTCCAGAAACCAACAGACTCACAGTTTATAGGTTGGTGTACGAGATCACGTTTGGCTCACTAATGAAGATACCACAGGTATTGTAGTCTGAAAACACTTTGCTAGTAATACCTTCTATAATTGAATCGTGCTCATCTAGTGAAATCAAAAGTCAGAAGCAAGGTTGGAAGATATATTTAATAGGTTATCAATATACCGAAAAGTGACTGATCTAAACTGGCTAGCGATTGCAGGAGAAGTTGATCATGGCGTTCCCACTCGTGACCTGGTGCGGATGCATGACCGAGCGCCTTCAGCTAGGTGAGTCCATTAAAACTGATGTGGTCGAAGACTTACAGAGCTATTGATTTTAGGGATATATTTACCGCTCCACTTCCATGCTAGCTGCTGATATCCAGAACTTCTGCTGTCCTGTTGCAAATGCACTTACCCAAATTTAAAAATATGTACAAATCTATAAAAAACTGTCAAACTGACTAGGATTAATGAACTTGAGTGACTAGACTATCACCCACTAAACATAAATACCTGGAACCGCACCAATATAACAAGAAGGGAGCACAAAAAAGTCAATCCAATAATCTGCATTGAGTCAGAAATTCTACACTATCGACTTTTGGTTTCGATTTTCAGATTTTCCTAACTTCAAGTTCGTGTCATTAACTGTAATTGCATTATGTGTTCTTACTGAGTCATTAGCTCACTTCCCTTTATGTTTTTTCTCTTCCAGATAGTCCCACTAAGCCCAATACTGTCCGATCACACAAAATATCCTCGGGTCATACACAAACCTACCAATGGCTGAACGTAACAACACAAGCTGGTGACAAAAATATTGAACGTTGGGAGAGCGGTAGTTGAAAAAATGAGGCGGAAGCGGCGTTCTGATTCGTTTGATGAAGATGGTATTTCTGAAACTTGGTTTTGCATAGTTGTGATTAAGACTTTAGAGCGAAAAGAGACAGGACAGAACCGGATACTATTGAATCTCTCATATATCGAATAGGATTCAAAGTATTATATCTTTTGGTGCTCATGATCTTCCTAGGACCTTTCTAATATAGAAAGGGATATTGGAGAACTTGCGTCAGTTATTCTAACAGATATCCCAAAGAATGGAGAGGGACTTTTGAAGGTTCTGAGCAATTGGTATTTTTCTGTTTACTTATGGTCCTCTTAGTGTAAAAAATGTTCCAGAACGAATACTAATTTACGCAACGCTAGTCGGGTTACTGAATCTAAAAAATCGATCGTTTGTCGGCCAAGTATGTATTACATATTGAAATGAACATTTTTTTAGTTGATAGAACTCCTACAACGAGACCTGAAGGATGCCATCAGATCGGCGAATTTTGAGGACGCCAAATATATAGTATATAACATGGTTTTTGTTTTCATTACTCGTCTAGGTTTTGTTCTTGTCAGTGTCTGTTAACTGTCATACTGTTCAGAAAGCATCTATTCTCGGTCTGTACGAGAATTTTGCTGAAGTCACTCTTGATGCAGGACGAAGTTCTCAGGCTCGAACTGATTGGTACACCTACGTAATACTTTACGGTCTACCATACGTAAGTGAAGCATATCAATCCCTAACTCTTTTTTTCACATGTTACCTCTGATATCCTTGTATTCGTATATGTACCAGGTATTCTGTTCATCTATAGTTAATCTGCAGTTGAAGAATACTTGCGACTAGGGATTGTCGGTATTTATCAGGATCGATATAGATAATTAGTGGCCACCTTAAAGTACCGATGCACCTTGTTCCCGGTTCTCCATATTACACTTAGTCTGTACCATGTTTTTATATTGACCCTGGTTTTTATACTTCTCCTTGTGTTTCGATCTCGAAGTAAGCTATTCTGGAATCTAAATTTGAGTGGATGACGCAGTGGAATGAATCTACCTTTTTCCCTAACTGGTGAATGTAGTCGTGAGTGTATACGAAAGTAGTTTTCTGTTTTCATTTGTTACCTTGAGATGTTGCAGTTATCGTTTACAAAGGAATGATCTGACTTATTGTTTGGTGTAGTTTACTTATTTACAAGTTTACTAAATTACTACCGTTTATGCATTAAAGTTCAACACTACCCCTATGTTATACACGGATATTCTTTTTAAAATTGTAAGTATAAAAATATGTGGTTATTTTCGTAGGGGTAGTGGTAGGGATATCCCATCTACATTTGTTATGTCTCCGAACGCCTATGTTTAATCGTCGATGAAGAGTCACTGTCATCTCGATGGATGGTTTTTATAAATAACAGTTTGTGAAACTAGTATCTTTTAGTATATTTGGCGACTTATTAGAATTTAGTGTACATATTTTATAGTCACTACTCCTTACTTGAACAAGTCTCTAATCAAAGCCCAACGGTTGCTGCTACCGTGACGTGGGGATAGGGCTTGTCTATCGTAATGAACAATCGAGCTATACGGGCTGGAACAATCGTTCCCCAAAGTTCTACCATGCCAGACAAATCGGTTGAAGAGCGGTAAAACTAGAAGCAGCGAACCCAAGGTTCGAGGGCGAAGTCGTACTACCGATTGTACAGAGGTGTGACGGCAGTAAGGTGTTTCTTTCAGACAATCGGCATAACAGCGATGCTGTCCTCACATAGGTGGTAAGATACGGAGCTAACACAAAAACTACCCACAAAAAGGTTGTGTGTGACCGACCTCAAGCAGTTGTCCCTTGGGCACTTTGGTCACGCTGTCAGATCACTAAGACCACCTGTAACTCAATTTTTTCAGATACCTCTAGAAGGACCCTTCTGCGGTGTGGGCAACCATGAAGCGGTAACAGCCTTCATACCTCTAACAGCACTCAAGATCACTATTCATAATCAGTCTCCCTCATCAATTTCTATTATTTCTCCAACCTCGACCTTTAACTCTAATTTTCGTCTTTTGACTTCCTCAATTGTCACCATGGCCAACGATTCTAGTGTGCGAAGTACTGTTCCAGGTCTACTGAGACCTCGCTCCAAACTACACATTCGAGCCCTCAACCTACACACCCTATGTCAAATCGACCAGCAGGCTTCATTGGCTAAAACCCTAGAATCTCATACTATTGATGTATGCTATGTCTCCGAAATACACATATATGATCACAGTATGGTCACTCACTTGACCTCAACTCGCTATAACGATGAGTCGACGAGATACATCCTCCATCTATCTGGCGACCCGATAGCTAGTTCTCGTGGACTGACAGGTGTAGGCATAGCACTAAGTACGACTTCTGAACAAGCATTATTAGAATGAGTCTCTGTTAACAGTCACCTATGTGCTGTCCGGCTAAACGACTCTGTAAGACCTCGGAAGTACAGGGGCACACGTCTTTGCCTTTTCGTCGTTTCTGTCTACACTCCCACTGACTGCATTCTGGATGAAGCGAAAGATAACTTACATAAAGCTCTCTGAACTGCTTCAAAAGCTAAAAGTTCAGACATAGTACTCGTAGCAGGTGACTTTAATGTCCAAGTAGGTAGCTTAAACCAAAGAGGAAGACATTTAGATGGGTCTTTTAGTATCCCAGCTCAGCGAACAGGTAATGGTGATTGTCCACTGCAATTGTGCTCAGACAACCGTTTATTTTTATCAAGCACCAACTTTAAGCATAAGGAGATACATCGTCTGACATGGCGACCCATGCACAGAACCAACAATGGACTCAAAAAGACCATATTGCCACCAGTCATAATTGGAGAGGTTTAATAGGAAACCGCCGCGCGTTCTAGTGTACATGTTTAGACTCTAACCATACTCTAATACGAGCACGCATTTGCTTGCGCCTCAATGGACGCAGAAAAACCACTTTAAGAAAACTCATTAGAGTTGAACTTAGTGACGAGAAAACCAAAATGAGATTCCAGGAACAACTGAGACTACACTTATGCAGTTCGGTAAAGGAGTCTGACCCAGATGTTGCTTGGAATGATGTAGAAACATCAGCGACATCTATTAATGATTTGAATAAAACAGTTACGAAAAACCGGTGGATTTCTGCCAAGTTCATTGCACTGATAGGTTCTCATAAACTCATCCCATCTGGCTCCGAACATTATGAAAAGCGAAAACAAATCAGATATAGGTTAACCAAAAGTCTAGGAAACTACTGTGAGCAGTGGTGGGCAACGAAAGCAAAAGAGATGGAAAAAGCAGTGGTTGTAGATAACGTAAGACAGCTTTTCAGACTAATAAAAAAACGAATTAAGAAGTCAAATGTAAGTGAGACAATCTGGGAGACAGATGACACTCTTATTTGCCCTCAGCCTAAACGTCTAGAACAATGAGCGGAACACTTTAAAGAGCAGTTCAGCTACTCTACAACTACCCACCATTTCCAGACAGCCTAAATGGAACATTGAAGTAGGTCCCCCGACTCTGAAGTTCAAAATGCTATAGCTAATCTGGAACGAGGGAGAGCAGCTGGCCCAGATGGATTGGCTCTAGAGGTCTTTAAGGATGGTGGTCCAGTTTTAGTGGTCAGCCTGACTAGTATTTTAGCTCAAATCTGGGAGTTGGACATAATCCCATCTGACTGGCCGCAATCACTGATTATCCTAATATATAGGAAGGGGTAAAAATCATTCCATGATAGCCATAAAGGGATTAATTTGACTAATATAGCATCTAAAATACTATCCTCAATAATTGTCGGACGCCTAACAAAGACTCATGAACTGCAAATACGAGAAAATCAGGCTGGCTTCAGAGTTGGTCGTGTCTGCATCGACCACGTATTCACCATTCGTCAGGTTTTATAACGCGGGGATGCTTATCGGCATCCGACAGTCATAGTTTTTCTCTACTTAAAAGCAGCATTCGACCTTGTAAACTAAGAGATTCTGTGGCAGTGTCTGTCATTGAAAGGTGTACCTAGGAAGTACATAAACCTTGTGAAGGTTCTTTACTCGAACACTACTAGTCGAATGAGAGCTTATGGCAAACTGTCATCTGATTTCGCAACCTCAGGTGGTGTCCGTCAAGATTGACCACTATCTCCATTTTTGTTTGATTTAATCACAGACCCACTGCTGGAAATAATGTTCTCGTCGTCTGAATTATCAGGGATTGATCTCCTACCAGGAGGTCCACTTATCGACTTAGAATACGCAGATGACATAGTCCTGTTTGGTGAAGACGCTGATAAAATGCAGTCTTCTGTTAGAACTGAGTAATAATGCCAGGATGTTTGGGATGCGGTTCTCCCCATTTAAATGTAAATTGTTACTCCAGGACTGGCCTGTGTCAACACCTGAACTAAGGCCAGGGAAGTCCTACTCACTGCCTTCTCGTGGCGTGGGTGTTGTTTACGAAATTGAGAGGACGAAAAGCGAATGTCCAGCGCTTTAACCGGGTTGGTGGATGTGGAGGATCCACCTAGGGGAGTTGGAAAACCCTAATTCCAAACCAATGGTGCATATGGGCTCCAGTATCCTGAAGGAACGAATGGCGTATGAACCAACTGTTGGTCACCGGCTACCATGGGACTGTATCTCTTTACGATGCTCTATTGCCTTGTGGACTAGACCTTTAGGTCAAAGGCTCCGGGTGTGGCACCCTAAGAAAACCACCTGCTTCAGTCTGGACACCTGGGCAGTATCACAGCCCTCACACAAATCGAATGAGATTTGTGAGGCGCATATTTATCTGGTGCTTCCTTGTACCAATATTTATGTGTTTAAATAAAATAAGTAAATAAAGGATAGGGAGTGAAGTAGTCGAGCGTGTCGACAACTTCACTTATGTTCGAAGTCTGATTAGCCCTAATGGGTTGGTGTCTGACGAAATCTCAGCACGGATTGAAAAAGCTCGTTTGGTTTTTGCCAACTTACGTCACCTATGGTGAAGACGAGATATCCGTCTGTTAATTAAGGGACGAGTATTTTTTTTATTTATTTAAACACATATATATATATATTGGTACAAAAGGGCACCAGATACATATGCGCCACACAAAATAACGAAGGTAGTAAGAGAAGGGATGAAAAGATAAGGCGGACTAAAATGTACAACCAGAAGACTCTTTCAGTTAAGAAAGTTAGAACCATTCTTTATGTAGAAAGTAAAAGAAGGTTGCAGCAGGATCGCCACTGGCTTCTATTCTGAGCCATATCTGATAACGTCTCTAGCCACTATGTTGCACCATCTCTCGGACCCCAGCCAGGGAGTCGTGAAGGACCAACAGAAGCTATCCCTTTGCAGCTCTCTTTCATGCCACGACACCATGTCATACACTGACCTCCTCTCCGCTTTTTCCAACCAGTCCCAGAGTCGGCAAATAATGCACGACGTGGAAGTCTCTGGGACGACATTCGTAAAACATGTCCAAGCCACCGAAGTCGGTGTTTCAAGATGGTGACACCAATTGAATTATCGTCTCTGCGCCCAAACACACGATGCCGAACCTCTGCATTACTAACATGGTGTTGCCACTGGATGTCAGCCGCTCTGGCTTTCCTTATACGTGCATCAATCTCATCACTCACGCCACCGTCAGCACTTATATAGCTACCTAGATACACGAACTTCTCAACTACTTCAATCTGCTCACCATACAGGGTGAGTACAGGATGAGAATCCTGCCAGTGTTGTAGGAGTACTTTGTACTTGGAGGGTGCAAAGCACTTGCCGTACCTGCGGACACTGATTGCCAACTGATTAAGTGCGGATTGCATGCCTTGGGCATTATCGCACAGTAAGACAATATCATCCGCATACTCGAGGTCGAGAAGTCGTTCTCCAGGCAACATATCCACACCGCGATTACTTACATTCATCAGAGCTGTTTCCAGGATGTCATCGATGGCAAAGTTGAAGAAGAATGGTGAGATCGGGCAACCCTGCCTAACCTCACTGCTCGAATGGAACAAGGGAGAAAGGTGGTTGTATGCCCTCACTCTGCCTGAGGTGTTCGTATACAGGGCCTTTAAGATGTTAATGAACTTCTCAGGCACACCCTTCTTCAAAAGACAATCCCAGAGAACAGTCCTGTCCAACGAATCGAAGGCAGCCCTGATATCAAGAAATACTACGATTGTTGGCCTGCGATAAGTATGACGGTGTTCTAACATTTGGCGGAGGGTGAAGATGTGATCAATGCATCATCGACCAGAACGAAAACCAGCCTGCTCCTCGCGAGTCAATCGTTCTCGGTTTTAAACGACCTACGAAGAATGACAAGCCAATAGTTTGGACGCAATCGGAAGTAGACTTATCCCCCGATAGTTGTTACAGGAACAACGTGAACCCTTTTTAAAGATAGGGACGAGTATACTATGCGGCAATTCGTTCTGTCCTACTTTACGGCTGCGAAACGTGACCATTATTTATTTATTTAAACACATAAATATTGGTACAAGGAAGCACCAGATAAATATGCGCCTCACAAATCTCATTCGATTTGTGTGAGGGCTGTGATACTGTCCAGGTGTCCAGACTGAAGCAGGTGGTTTTCTTAGGGTGCCACACCCGGAGCCTTTGACCTGAAGGTCTAGTCCACAAGGCAATGGAGCATCGTAAGGAGATACAGTCCCATGGTAGCCGGTGACCAACAGTTGGTTCATACGCCATTCGTTCCTTCAGGATACTGGAGCCCATATGCACCATTGGTTTGGAATTAGGGTTTTCCAACTCCCCTAGGTGGATCCTCCACATCCACCAACCCGGTTAAAGCGCTGGACATTCGCTTTTCGTCCTCTCAATTTCGTAAACAACACCCCCGCCATGAGAAGGCAGTGAGTAGGACTTCCCTGGCAGAGGCTATATATTCGCCTGGCCACATGAGAGCATTTCGAGAGGGAGAGCAGACTCTCCCCTTTCTCGGTCGTACCAGGGCATTTGTGGGCACGTGACCATTAAGCGTAGATGCTCGCAAGTTACTAGTATTTGACCACAGATGTCTTAAAATATATTGCTCGCATCTGCTGGGATCACCGGGTAAGTAACAGTGAGGTTAGACTCAGGGTGTTAGTGAAAAATGATAAGTCAGTTGATGAGGTTGTAGTTGGGCCACATGTCACATATGCCTGAACACCAATTACCACGGCGTACAATATTGACGAGTGCTGGGGGTGGTTGAGAGAAAGTTAGGGGCGGCCAAGCCAAAAAGTGGCATCAGTGCTTGAAGTCACTAACTTCTGGTCTGAACCATGTTGGTAGATGCAGACTACTTGGTTGGGGTCCGTGTGCCTATCATAACCAATTGTTGGAGACTCTGGGTGACATGGCTAAGAATCGATCACAATAGCGTAGTTGTATACACTCGTCTTCCTTAAACCTTGAGATTAAAATTGCTTGATATCTTTATTTCTACGAATTAATTTTTTCTTCCTATATTATATCCTTATACAAAATCTTTTTTTATGTATTATCACCATTATATTAACTGCTTCTATGAATTCGGTGTTCATATTGTTGTAGTAATGAGATGTGGCAACTTGGACTGATGCATATATTTGCCTGGTCCTACGTTGTAGCTCACTGACTGACTGACCCTAATCAGAGACAGGTGTCTAAAATGTTAGTTCATTATTGTATTCGACAATGCAGCCTTACTTGTATCCAGTTGATAAATAGTTTATAGCAAACGACAGCGCATCTTATCAAAAAATTATTGCCTATGTAATCACTCACTCTTTAACTACCTTACTTTGTTTAGTTAACAAGACATAGTTGGATGTATATTTCCTCTAATCTATGATTTGTTTGCACATCCGTTGATTCGTATTTTTGTATCCTTTCAGAGTGGTTACTTGCTAGCTTCTTATGACGCTTCAGCATTAAACGACATATTAGGTACAATTGAAGTTTATATGACGTAAGTTGTTTACTTTGTTTGTACAAAAATAAAATATGCGATCTATACAACATTTCTGTATACAAATTTGTATTCTTTGGTGTTATGATGATCATTTATTGCCCTAAAAGTGTGTTAACTGATTTCCTATGTGGTCATTATCGTTTCACATATACTAACTATTGTACGGCAATTATTATTATTATTATTATTATTATTATTATTATCTTTTCGAACGCAAACAATAATGTTTAGATATTCCACTTCGAATACTACAAAGGTTTCCACAAGAATCATTTTGTCTAAAATTGCTAAATTTGCTTTAAACAATGGAAAAATCATTCAAAATGTTTGGCCTATGAATCATGCTGAAATATTTCTGTTAATCGAACAGATTCATGTTTGCCTGTGGACTCTCAAACCCATGTTGAATGTTATTGTACGAATTTATAACATCAGATTCCCGATGAAAGTTGTAATTTAAGCAGGAACTTTTGACTCTATTTTTAAATTAAGGAAACTTAAAATTTATCTATGAAATACAGGCCTATGGTCCTAACTTTATGCTGCATATATTTTGTTCAGAAAATAGCTGTACTACCTTGGTTCTGTAGCCGAAGTAAAGAAACAGATTTGTATCGGTGATGTAGTCATTGAAGTATTCATAAACTAAGTTTAGTTGGGGAACCACTGAATCTAGAAAGTACTGGATAACTATTTTATCAATCCGCCTTAATATTGCATACTTACGACATTTCATGAGTCTGAAGGCGCTTGAATACTTCGATGTACGTCATATCTGTTGAGAGAATAGAAACTTGTCCAAAACATTTTTCAAAGAAAGTCACTGTGAAGCGGGCTAATTAGTTCATTTTCGACCGATGAGCACTGGTAGATGAGCTGAGGAAAATGATGAATTTCTTGTGCAGCGTTTACATATACACTGACATTTTCTTACTATATTAACTCAACGTGACTAACTGTTGTTTTAGAATGTGTTTACATCTTTATCCAATTCGTTTTGATTTGGAAACCAGTCTAGTAAATTAAAGTCCCCGGGAATATTAGGTCATACAGGATTCAATAATGTCATTTAGTCATTGAACATGAATTTGATAACGCAAGTTTTCAGCGTGAATTAGTTTTCTTTTCGTGAGCTAGTATCAACTGAAAGATCATAGGAGACCAGGGACCACCAAGTAGGAATAGGGTACTAGGTAAAGATAGGAAATCAATTGATGAGATAGTAAATATTCATCAACTGAGGTGGTTGGAACATGTGCTGCATATGTTCAACAATCTCCAACCTCGATGGACAATGTTATGTGGTGCAGGATTGGGCTAGAAGAAAGCTAGGGGCAGCCGAACCAAAACTTGGCAAGTTCTACGTTCTGAATGAGAAAGCACTGGGAAGCTATTTTGTCTTAGCTTCAAACTACTCATCAGTGCGTGCTCACGACCCTCAGTTAATATCAATTCATAACCAGAAACAACTACAACTAATTTCTGTAAACCCCTCAACAAAACGTTCCTAGTTCAAGTTGATTAGCAATAATATTTATGCTTTATTTAGCCATTTTAATAAAGAGATTGAGAGAACATCGATGTACATATACAGCAATAACATCACATAAGATTATAAGTATGAAAAGTTACGCTTCGTAAGGTATTTATAGTATCATTTTATCCATCAATAGTTTTTACGCAAAAGTTTTTCTGTGGATGAGATTCAAATAAAGTCAAAGTGATGGATGTTTTAAAAATAATCCATCTAGTTAAATCAGTTAACTATAGCTATCAATCAACCAAGTGTCTCATATTTTTAAGAAATTTCCCGTCGATTTCTTATCTCTTGATTGGTTTGTTCACCAAAACGTTACTGTCCTGATAATGTTCATTATTGTGTCACTTAGTTGGTACATCATATGATCCATTTAGTATTCTGCAATATCTTCATTCTGAATGTTATTTATTACATTAGCTGAAACATTTTATACACTTAATTAATCCTCAATGATAAAGTGCTAACTTCCTAAGAATTCTAATTATATTTTAGTAAACGCCAGTGCCCCCATGTCTCATTATTGCGCGTTTGGGAGACAAATGATCCTCACCCACAAGAAGATGTGAGTAAAGTTTTACTGTGAAGACATTGTCTCGTTATTGTGAACGTATTTTATTCAACTTTAACTCACTGCTCAATACAATTAAGCTAATATCTGTGTAATATTTAAGTCTGTTGGATTTTAATATCTACACTCTTCTCAAATACTGAATGACACTAACCTAAACAATATTTTAAAACTGAATCACTATATGATTTGTTAATATTTATATAGGTAACCGTTAAACTACTGGATTCAGATTCGCTGAATGTGGACAATTTTGATGTACTGCTCAGTTTTATCAGTCTCAGTTTTTCTAGCAGCATATTGCTACAAATATTAGACTGTTAAGTATTATTACCGTCAAATGTCAAATATCTTTACAGAAACACTGTATTCCTTATAACGTATCGGTGATTGAGGTTGCTTACAACGTCTTAAGTTCGTAATAAAGCAGCATACTTCTAATGACCTTTTACTTCCTGATGTAACCGTAGATACCACTGTAATCACTAAGACTATCAACCGCTACTCTACACGAAATAAATAAGAACATGAAAACTGGTGCAAATGAACATTTTTACTGACTTATCAAAACCATCTCAACCTCAGTAGATAATACACTCATTCATGAATCGATATCACAGGTATACTTGATGACTTAATAATGAGTAGCAAATATATGGGAAATACACAGTTACTACAAAAGCATGCAAGTTATGTTAAGTTGAACTAAGTTCAAATAAAATATAATAAAGTATATTTCACTGAATAAATGTTTTACTGAAATAAAACCAATGTTATATTGCATAAATTATCACACTGAACTAAAGCAGGATTAATATTAAACAAAAGTGGCACCGAATTAAAACATGGCTCATTTTTCCTCGTTTTAACACTTTCTGATTAAAATTTCGATAGCATTACACCTCCAAAATAATTTACTAGTAGACATTAGATTCAATGATTTCACTTATTTTTGGTTTCATTTGTCCCTACAGAGTATTCTTGCTGGTTAGTTCCTTCTTTTATCTTTCCACTTCAGTATTTGGATTGTTTGTGGGCTCAAATATGCAATCTCCGAAATGGTGGTTGGGTGGAAAAAGTAACTTGGAGATTATATGACTCTTTTCCTAGTTTAAAAGAACATGGTCAGCCGCATAAATTATCACCTGTAAGTCAAGTTTCCATGACGATTCCCCTAAATTTTGACTCTTGTTGTCACTGCTACTATCATTCACATAATTTTTCACGTTTCTAATTTATTGGTGGAGAATCCTATAGTGGTTTCTTCTTTTTTTTTGTAGCTCACACCACCCGATTATGATGCAGAGGTCATTTATCCTCTTCCATCTGTGATTTTTCGAATGTTTGATTACACTGATGTGATTGATCAAGATGAAAACGAGATTGTCCCTAACTCAGATTTATCATCAGACGGAGTTAAATCTAGTAAAGAAACTCCTGTCCTCCCGGGAGCACATACTATCGAACGATTTCTTATTGATGAACATTTGGCAATTTTGATGAATAATTTAAGTTTCAACAGAGTTATGTGGTAAGTAAACTCATCTAATTTTTTTCATCATTTTAGCTACCGTTAAAATTTTGGCTAACTCACATTTGTACTAAACCCTACGTCGATCATGAGTGACTAACAGTGTAAAAATTTATTTTTCAACTTATTATCGTTGAAGTTTTAATTGGTAATGTGGACTGCTTGCATATTACGTACTACAGTGTATACTGGTGTGAAAAATATAAGTCAATGTTAGGGAAACCAAGACTTTAGATCATTAAGTATGTTTACATGGCAACTGACTCCACAGTATTTTGCCAGAATATAAAGAAAACTAATACGCATTTCAATGGGTTATTTATTTTTTCGCCAGTATAATGATACAGCGTCTCATTACTTCATATAATGTTCTGTTTGTTTGAACTAATGAAAATTTTCATTTTTAATAAAAGATTGTGGTAATGTCATAGTAAATCGAATTGTTTGAGTTGTTTTATCTGTCCATTAGGTTTTCTGAGACAAATATCATAAAAAAGTTGAAGACCTAAACTCACTTAGCTTCTATGGTAGTAAAGTGGCACGTTTTTAAGCGTCTTTCCAATTCCAAACGATCTTGGAAAAAATATACTTGTCCAATGATATCTTGTATTTTTCCAACTTGTTTGTAGATTTAGTGGAAGAAAACCACTTTCGGTTTTAAATCAGATCTTGTTTTACTTCAGTGTTAGTAGTCGCACTTTTATATATGCTTTATGTATCTTATCTTTTTTAATATTCTCATGTTTATTCCTATGCTTTATCCATATCTTCGGGTTTTTTTAGTGCTAAAGCTTTGCTGGGACTCAAAACTCGAGCGAAAGTTGCTTTAGATTACATGATCATTGAAGCTGTTTTTGCTGGAATGTTTCACTTACCTCGTCCACCAGTTCAACATGGGAATCTTCTGTTTTATGGAAGTTTACTAGTACAGTTATGCCATGAGGCTAGTAATACAATTCCTCTGGTGTTAGCTCAAGCCACTGAAGTCCTATTTGAGCGTTTAGATAATATGAAACCTGTTTGTATTGGCAGGTAGGATTGCATTTGATTATGATTTCATGTTAAGATTTATTGCCATATATGTGAATGACTGACTAATGTGATATAAATCACATACATTAATATTTATGTTTAAACATAGTGATGTGAGTTTTTCCTGTTGACTACTATTGCCACTTTAAGTTTGAATCAGTTTTATAATTTAAGTTTACACTTAGTTCATTACAGATTATTTTTCTAAACATCCGACTCAAATTTTAAAAACAATAAAGCACTTTAGATACACTATTATGCAAATGTTTGTACTATTTATATACTTATTTGAAACTCAGAAATACTGGTTTAAGTAGACATCAAAATACGTATGCACCACATAAATAAGGAAACAAAATTGTGCAGAAGTAAAGGATGGATAGGTAGACTAATGAAAATGAATAAGTGAATGAAAATATGTGAACTAGTATGGTTCATAATAGGAATGGCGGTTCTGATGAAAAAAAATACAGTCAAGAAAACTTCTTTCAGTTAAGAGAGTTCCTGTCACTTTTATGAACATTATAAAAGAAAACTACATCAGGGTCGTCATTGGCTCCTATTCTGAGTCGTGTTTGATAACATCTCAAGCTGCTGAGTTATAACATACCTAGGACCCCAACCAGCTAGTCGTGATGGACAAACAGATTTCAGTCGCACACACATGTTTCATACCACAGCCTCATGTCATAAATTGATTACCTTTACGTTTTTCACTCTGTCCCGGCGTCCACAAACGATCCTCGATATGGGAGCCACTGACACAAAATTTTTAATATGTCCAAGCCACCAAAGTCGGGATTTCAGGATTGCGATACCAGTTCAGTTATTCCCACCAATCCCGAATACATTGTCAAACCTCATCATTACTAACACGATATTTCCATTGGATTTCAGCAATCCTTCAAAAACAATTATGGTCAGATATGGGTACTTTACATCTTCAGCTCAGAGAGACCAAGTTTCACAGGCATAAAACAAAAATGTTCTCATCGACGCGTTGTAAATCCAGCCTTTTACAGCCATTCCAATATTACTATAGCACCAAAGATAGCCTTGATTGGTATAAGTCACTCTGGCTTTCGCCGTCCATAGATTGATTTCATCACTTACAGCACCAATAACATTCACACAACTACCTAGACACGCGGACTTTTTGACTACTTCTAACAACTCATTACAAAGAGTGAATGCAGCCACAGACTCCTGTCAGTCTTGTAAAAGTACTTTAGATTTATAGGTGTAAAGTATGTACCATATTGTCATGAATTGTCAACTAAGTGCGATTTATAAAGTTTATGTATCACCAAATAACAAGACAATATCATTCGCATACTCAGGATAAAAAAATTTCCTCCACATCACCATCACATACTTCCATCAGAGCTGTTTCTAAAATGTCATTTATGACAACATTGAGGAGGAATAGTGAGATTGAGAAAACCTGCTTAACCTTACTGCTGAAAAAGAGTAATGGAGAGAAGTAATTGTATGCTCTTACTTTTCCTGAGGTGTGTGTACTTAGTCTTCACGATGTTGATAAATTTCTCAGGGATGCCCTTCCCCAACTGACAGTCCCAGTGCAAGACGTCGGTGAATATTATTGATTGGCGTCACATCTTTCCAGATTGATTCCATTACATTAGACTTCCTGGCTTTAATGTCTTGGATGAGTTGAAACATCTTCAGGGATTTACTAGGTCTAACTGTTGCTTTCAAAAAAATCAGGACTCTCTAAACTCCAGATTTCTCGGTCCGTTAGCTAACTACACAGTTAATGAAGTATCTGTTTATCATCTAACTCATGATTAGGCAATGTTGACCCACTTGCTCGCAAAAGTTGTAAGGAATCTACAGAAACACAGTGCTTATAATTGTAACTTTTCATGAAGCTGCAAAGGACTTTACTCACCATTTTCATTGGGTTATGCAAACGTAACCAGTTTTTATACTTTTTGGCGGGCGGATAGCGAACTTTAAATCTAGCTTGGTTTGACATTTGAGTGCGACGGAGGCTGCAACCGATTTGCTTACATTAATCCATTTACAACGATGGGTTTATAGGCTATGAAAACGTAAAGTAAGATTGTTGTCTGATATTTATATGCAACGTAAAACTGTTATCTGTTCTGCAGTCAGCGGGTCTACAGTAGCAGCTGTCCTCTTTGTTTAGACACTCGACCTGTGCATTCTAATCTCCGGCTAGCATTATAATATCTGTCGCACGCGTTTTCCTGAGATCATTTAAATGATGGTACCATTTGTCCTTGGTTTAATTAAATAAATAATCTGTCGGGAGATAGGCGGGCATTTCGGAAAGACATTGTTCCGCATGTAGTTTTCTCATTTTGATGGAGCTTTATTATATAGCAGGACATAAATGACTGTTAATACGCATCCAGTTGACTAATGCTAGTGTTCTGGTGTTTAACAAAAGACCAACGCCCAACTATCCTGGACGAATATTTAACAGGACCTCTGTAATCACCATGTTTATGTGTAGGCTGGTACACTGCCCGAGCGCCCGATGAGAGGCAGTCGGTTTTGTTAAGGGGTTATTCGCCAAGTCCTTGACCTAAGACTAATCGACAAAGCGACCGAACAAAGAAGATGCAAACCATAGCAACCGATGAATAAAGATAAGTTCATTTATCATTCGTCCCGTTAGGATACTGGAGCTCATAAGCACCATTCGTTTGTAATCAGTTTCACTCTATGGTAGGTTTTCCGTATCTACTAACTCATCTAAAAAGCTGTGCGTCCGCTTTTCGGCCGCTCACCTCCGTAAACAAAGTCCTACTGTTGGGATGCAGTGGGTTTAAACGCATGACCATATGAAGGGATTTTGAGAGATAAAGAGTGGACTCTCCATCTTCCACCCTACCAGGACTGGTCTGATATTTCAGGACTTCCTGGAATTATGGGATAGAAATATTGTTGATATTCTGTTTGTAGGGCGGAGGACCATAGGGAATTTTCATTTGGTGGTTAGGCCAACATGGTGCTAAGCTAGCTCTACATTGGGAAGTGATGATTTAGTAGTAGCACTTGGCTTGAAACTACTAAGTCGTCGGTTCAAGCTCCATTTCACCCACTTTGCTTTGAATAGTCGATCGAATATCTCCATCCTCAACATTAAGAAATATGTGGCTCAAAATCCAAATCGTTAGCTTTTTGATTTTTGTTTGGAAATTTGTCTTCTTTTACTACTAATGACACTCGAATCTAACACCAGTATATTGCAAGCCGTGTTTTATTCACTAAACTGTCGCCTTATCAAGTTGAAATGTCAGTACTGCTTCAACACCCTTTTACTTCAGACATTTAACTCATTATTATTTCTGTTATCCTGTAGGTTTATTGAATGGTTTTCATATCATTTAAGTAATTATCAGTTGCAGTGGAGTTGGAAAGAGTGGTCTTCATCGCTAACGCTAGATCCAATGTCTCCACAAAAACGTTTAATTACCGAAACATTATGTCGATTAATACGGTGAGTGTTTTTCCGTATGACATGTATTCTTAGAGAGGATTATTATTATTATTATTCTAATGTTTTGATAACAAAGACTCCATCATATCGAAATATCATAAAGACTTAATGCAAATTTTATTGAGAGTAAGTTAAACTGTAATATTCATCTGCAGAATTAAAAATCTGTTACATGTAAGTAAATCCATATATTTAGTTAATGGATAAAACTAAGAGATAATTTGTTATCATTATCCTATTATCTTGCTAATATTTCGATGTATACTAGTCTGCAAGTTGGAAAACATGGTACTATATGTAGTCATGCTTCTGAAATTTCAAAACTGTAGCGAAATTGCGAATTAGACAGGATAGAGTTGTTGAATTGTTTATTATTTTAATCGTAACATAGAAGCAATATTCATGTCAATGTAAAAAATCACATGATAGTTACTTCAAATGTAATTACTGTGTAAAAGTGAGAAATCATTTGGTAAAATTGTGAATCTTCACGGGTTAAGATGACTGAGCACATGTGCTACGTATGTCGGAGCACCTCTTGCGCCAATCTATAGTCCTGTATGATGTAGGAGTAGGTGGGTTGAGAGTGCTAGAAACAGTCAAACCAAAACATATCTATTAATCTTTGAAATTATTGACGTTGATAGGTTCAAACTACCTTGTTAGGATCCAAACAATAGTCGGAATCAATAATTGTAGACCTTAAGTGACACGACTTAAAATCAGTATCATTCATGTTTTTCTATTTTCTCGAAAATTCTGAATTTCAAGATTATTTTCCATTTCGATCGCGCAAACTCATTCTTTCTTTTTCAGCCCAGTATTCTGTATCTTTAGCCCATTTTGCCTATCGTTACTATTACCTCTATTAATCCGACCGACTCCTTTACTGTTTACTTGTTAAACTCATCTGAATTTACGTATTCGGTATGGTAATTTTGGATGAGCGCATATCTGTATTAAGTTTTACATTGATCATTATGATTAAACTGAACACCGATTACCACGACGTGCAATATTGACGAGTGCTGGGGGTGGTTGAGAGAAAGTTAGGGGCGGCCAAGCCAAAAAGTGGCATCAGTGCTTGAAGTCACTAACTTCTGGTCTGAACCATGTTGGTAGATGCAGACTACTTGGTTGGGGTCCGTGTGCCTATCGTAGCCAATTGTTGGAGACTCTGGGTGACATGGCTCAGAATCGATCACAATAGCGTAGATGTATACACTCTTTATCTTCCCTTAAACTTTGAGATTAAAATTGCTTCTTATGTCTTTCTTCCTGTACTATATCCTTATATACAATCTTTCTTTTATATATTATCACTAAATTTACTACTTCTATGAATTTGGTGTTCATTTTGTTTTGATAATGAAATGTGGCAACTTGGACTGATGCATATATGTGCCTGGTCCTACGTTGTATCTGACTGACTGACTTGGACTGAATCATACATAAAAATGGTTATTGTGTCAGGTTTTTTCTGTACATTCACAACTAGTCATCATCTTGTGTTTTACGCTTTTTGTTTTAGTTTTTCATACTACGAGAATGTCAAACGTTTACTTCCAAAATCTTTTTATATAATGTTACCACCTCAACCTACGGTAATCAATAAATATGAAAGTAATCCAGGTAATTCATATTTGTTAGTTGTATCAGCACCATAATTACGCGGGTTTGTTTTTGTTTGAACTGGTTAGAAGGCTTAACAGTGGCGAATTTTAAATATGTCATTGTTAATCCAATTAATCCTCTCGTACTTATTCTCGCATAAAATTAATCTTCAACTTTCATATATGCATGTGCCTTTTTATCCATTTACACATAAGCTTTTTTAAAGTATGTAAAGTCGAAAATTGATAGGTTAATTTATGTGTCAGATTTTCTAGCCACATAACTCATTCCTTCATTCAACTCTTTTTCGTCACTGGTTTTATCTACGGATTACCCGGTCTGAAATAAATATGTTCCCAACACATTTCATATAGGACTTAATATCACTTTTTCTAGTTAATGATTGCACAACGGGATCAGTTTAATTAAACAACGAAATAAATCGGGGATCGATTAACGTTAGAGTCAAATGCATTCCCAAAGGACTATTTTTTAATAGCATAGGTAATATCAATATGACAAGTAATGTCAGTAAGCTATTCTAATTTGTTCGTTTATATACTTTTGAACCCACATTGTAGTTTGGCTATTTATAAAGGGATTCTAATTCCTAAACTATTCGGTCTCTTGGTATCCTGAAAAAGCCTTATTCGAAATTTCGCCCATTAAAATAGGTAACTGATAACTAAATATAGTGAGTTTCAAAATCTCTTTAGTTTTGAATACAAATACAAGAATAAAATTGACTGTGTCACGTACACATGAATCGAATGAAGTTTTGTACATAAAATCATTTCCTTTTATAAACATATCATTTTAACGCCAACACACATACATGTAGATTTCAATAATTTATTTAATCGTGTTATCACGATATAGAATTGTGACTTTGTAGTTTTAGATAACTGCTACCAATTATCTATTATCAGATTTGAATTTCATCCCACTTAGTCTCCGTAATCGAGCAGTTTTGATAACAATCTTACTCCGATGTAGTTCGCGATGTTTAGTGTACAAACCAACACAGTCGCTCTACGTATGTTGCCAGTTTTATGTGTTTAATAAATAGATTTATAAAAGCTTATAGAAGAAAATTTTAATTTGGAAATCTTGTTGAATGATACAAACTGTATTGTCTATTTTTCTTTATGTAAAATCATGTATGGTCTAGGTATTTCTTTTACAGTTATTTCCTCTAATTTATGTTTCTCCATTACTTTCCATCATAGATTTGTCTTCTGCACGCGCATTCTTTCGTCTAGTGGATTCTATTCGAGCGCGCCTTGAACCCCAAACTGTCTTAAGAATAGCTGAAACTGCCTCACAAAGTCGTGGTCGACGTCTTTCATTATCAGAACCATTTGATAATGATGGGGTAAGAGATGAAAGAGATGAAGATGCATCTAGTGATGATAGTCACTCTGATCATAGTGATGAGGAGCGTCGTGGAAAAAGCCCCATTGATACCATTCCTCTTTCAGATCCTGAGTTTGATGAACTAGATGATCCTGAGCCTGCTAAACAAGAAATGCGCTCTCGTCTTAAAGCACGTCGACGAATTTTACGGGAAAGTGCAATGAAACGTAATTTGAAAATATCATCAGAAGATAATGCTGATGAACAGGTCGGTGTAAGAAGTGATTCTGTCGAAAAGTTGCCATTTACCACAGCACCTCAAGTGTCTGAACTTTCTCCTGGAGTGACAAATTTAGCTATTGAATTATTTTATTCTGCTATGTTGATCGCTGGTCATAAAACAATCAGTCACACATTTGCGTTCATAAAAAAGTTAGTTTTCAAACTGCGTTATTTTAGATTTCTCAATACACCTGACATACTTTCTCCAGTAAATGTTTAATTTCGAAGATAATCCTCACTTTAGAGCTCTTTTAGAATAGTTGTCTGTTATGAACTTATCACGTGAGGAATCCGGCCATTTGGGTCAGTCTGTATATCAAGATAGCTGGTCAGTTAAGCTTGAAGGCATACAGTGTAGGGATTGCAAAACTTGAATTAAGATAAATCCAAATGTTAACCTTCCAACGAGGATCAGTCGTATGTGTTCACAAAGACTAAACTTTGCTTATACTGAATATCGGTCCGTAGAAGTCAATCGGGTTAAAAAAAATTCAATCCATACACTCGATTGCTATATAGTGGAATACGGCCGACCAGAGTTTACCTGAGATTTAAGTAGAAGCTCTTTCAGTTTCACTAGGTTTTTTTGAAGCTTTGTTGGATGGTGTTGTCTAAATTAATTTAAGAAGGTTTGTATTTTGAAATTCAGTTTTAGAGTATCTTAATATAAAGAAAGGAAAGTTCACAACGCGATATTTGCGTGCCTTCTCATTCCCATTTGTTTTGTGTTTAATGTTTAGGTATGCTGCTGTCATCCGGACTCTTACATCTACCGTTGAAACTCAAGTAGAAGCTTTACATGTAATTCAGGCGGTCTGGGCTAATAATCCACAAATGATTGTCATTATTACAGAACACATGTGTCGTGTTGGTTTGGTTGATCCGGAAGCGGTTGTTCGATGGGCATATTCACCTATAATGACAACTTTAACAGATGATACAGTCAATTTGAACTGTGCTAATGCTCGTCCAAAAATTTTAGAGTAAGACAATTCATCATATATATATATATATATATATATATATATATATATATAATTTATTTATGCGCCCTTTATTTATACTTATTTATGCCTGTTACCCTTCGTGCAGGAGCATAGGCCGCCCACCAGTATTTTTCATCCAACCCTGTACTTGGCGATCCTTTCAAGTTGTTATTCATCCTTTTCATATCTCCTTCTATTTTCCGGCTTAATGTGTTCTTTGGCCTTCCTCTTTTCCTCTTCCCTTCAGGATTCCAAGTTAGGACCTGCCTCGTGATGCAATTTGGTGATTTCCTTTATGTATGTTCGATCCACTTCCAACGTCTTTTCCTAATTTCCTCTTCAGTCGGAAGCTGGTTTGTCCTCTCCCACAGAAGTCTGTTGTTGATAGTATCCGGCCAGTGAATATTGAGTATTTTGCGTAGATAACTGTTTATAAATACTTGTGCCTTCTTGACGATGGATGTAGTAGTTCTCCACGTTTCGGCTCTGTACAGTAGGACTGTTTTGACGTTCGTCTTGACGTATCTTCTGCATAACTAATTAGTAAAATACTAGTCTGGTAATTCACTGTTTTAACTAATCACTGAGGATATTTGATGATAGACGGTACGTTTAATTTTCTTTTTTATAAGGTAGTCAACCATTAATAAGTTATCATTCATTCATTCTGTAATGAATCCTGGCAGCGACACCAAATGTAATGAATGAGAACACGAAAGGGGACAATCGAATGTACTAGACACAAATTACAGACTATCTCACTAAATTCTGATAACCATACAATGAACAGTTAATTTGCAAAATAACCATCAATTGTCTCAATCTTTACTGTTCCTTTTGTAAATATCAGTCCATCTTCTCTAATTTCATTGTTTGTGCATTTTCCTACTAATTGCGCGTCATTTCAGTTCTTTCCTTATCGGTCTTCTGCCAAAATACATTTTATGTCTAACCATCACCATACACTACTTATATGGATATAAGTAAACCACACTACAATTCTAGTCACTCACATTACAACAGCTTTTTATAGTCAGTGATCACTTTTCTCGTAAAGCATTCAACTAAGGTTGTTTCAATGGGAAACCACCGGACATAAACATTTGTAGATTAGCAGAGGGATGGTTTTCGAGAATGAGGGAATGTATGAAATTCTTTGCGACAAAGGGATAGCATTCATACAGAGTCTTCTCTATGGAAAGCTTTTATAATATATTTGTTTTTGTTTCTTATTTCTAATCCGAAAAAGTAACTCATTTATTAATATTATTACTATTTAGCTTTTACGTTTGGGAGTGCTTAAGTCGAACTCTTGTTCGTGTTGGTAGGCGCGTTGCTCGAATTACAAATAGACTAGAACTGGCAAAAGAAACGATGGAAATTAACAGGCGTTCTGTAAGTTGTCGTTTATGTCAATTGTTTTCTGTTTGGTCGTGTTTCTTACTTTGTTAACATTTGCTGGTCAATAGCTTAAACCTATGCGTATGTAGTGTTTTCTACAACAGTTGTACTGCTAATAGTGTCTCCTAACTCCACTCTCTTCACGCCTCAAGGTAAACCGTAAATCTTCGATATTTCATTGTTTCAGCCCGTCCTTTTTTGCCATCATGTGTTTTTTGTCTGTCAGTATTAATCACTCGATTTTCCTATTATCGTTTTAACTACCTATGTTTCTTGCATGTAACGTTATAAGTTCTCTTGAAAGCCTATTTTTTATGTTCTTTCTGCAGTATAGTTGGTTGGGTACACTTTGACGCATTCAATTTCGTGTTAATTTATCGTTTTCTCTTTCCCTTACTCATATTGTTTTGTTACAACTTCTACAAATTATTAGATGGCAATTTCTGTGGCACAAGATGCACACAGTACATTTTGATTCGTCAACTTATTCGTGAAAAGGTACATCTATTTCTTATAATTAAATTGACTTTTGTAAACTTATGCTAGTTTTCTACTAGAGTAAAAGGTTTTGCTCTCTTTTTAAACTTTCTGGATTTGTTTCACTAAGTTAGTTTTTAAATATTTTTTCTTCCCTGTCTGATGTTCTTTAATGAAATGATAAACCCAGTTATTCATCACTGAACAACCACAAATGGAACTACTCATTAGCACCATTCAATATCAGAACTGTTACTAATCCCTTGAAGCAAAATAAAATAACCAGTTTTGTTGTCTTTTTTGAATGTTTTCCAAAGACGTTGGATCAGATCTTCGAGCAAGTATTAGACATCAAACACTGTCCCATCAAGTCAGTCTCAAAAACATACCAATGTTGATGGAATGGTTAGTTTCTGTAAAAGCCAAATCATCATGAATATCCTGAACCTAGTACAGTGTTCGTAATCCTGCGTTTGATATTTAGCTTTTAAATAGAATCTTGAGCACAGAGCTAAGTGTCGTTCAAGGTGGCACATAAGACGTGGATACTGTAACACCACCTAAGCCTAGTATCAGACTTCTTGACCTTTATTTATTTTCCTTGAAAAAGTAGTTAATTCTAAGTACTGTTTTTATTTCTTTCATTTTGAATCATAGTAATTCAAAATATTATTTCCTTTTTAGATTCTTAGGCTAGTTTAGTGAACTTTGCTATCTTGAGAAATAAGCGGTCGTCAGGATCTTGAGGTTTTTTTTATCTAAGTATGTAGGTCTTCATTTATATTTTTTTCCGTGCAAATATGTACTAGTTTCTTCAAGTTAACAAATAAATGTATTATTTTGTTTGTCAATCTTGTTAAGTCTCCATATTCGACTCCTGATCGTGAAGACGCTGACCAGGGAGGAGATGGTGATAGTTTCTCACGAACTGGAGTCGACAGTGATTCATTCTTCAAAAAACCGAATGATTCCATTTCTGGGAGAGTTAAAGTCAGTGATCGACGAAAGCTTATGGCAGGCTGTGAACTGGTTTCTTCGTCTGACGATGAGGCTTATGGTGGAGGAAAGGATAATGTTGGTGGTCGAGTAGCCAGACTAGAAGAAGCCAGATGTGAAGCAGTTCGCAGTCAATGTGCTGTCATTACACTTCTTCTGCATCGTCATGCTAGACTTACTGCTGAACTTGCATCTGAAATGTCTGGACCTTCTCAAAACCATTCATTCAATACGGATTCTCCATTTTTCTTGCATGAACCAACTCAACCGAAAAGTTTGTCTGACGAAGCTTTAAGAAATATAATGTTTTGGTTAAAAGGTCGTTTAGTGCAGGTGGTTCTTGAAGTAAGTCTTATTTTGCGTTTCCATTGTGTTATCCCTGCTCATGAAACCGAATATTATTCTAAATGTGTTTTGCAAGTGTTTGTCGTAATGTAAGATGTCAGATAGTAGCTTTATTCATATATGAGTTTCCGCTGGATTATATAAATAACCTAATCATCTAATATATATATATTGCGTAAAATAAAACTACTCCAATATTTTGATGTAACTTCTTACAACTGTTGTACGATTGTAGAAACTTTAATTACTACGTAGTACAGTACTTCATGTTTGTCCATTGTTCGTAGATCGGTGACCACTTATGTATATGGTATATTGAAACTGGTGTACGTGTATGTAGTAAATGTTTACATGTCACATTTCTATGACTTCATAACTTCATTACTCCCTTCACTTGAGGTCTCAGCGACAGACATTTTCAAGCTTCTCAAAAATCGTGACACACAAATTAGCATTGGAAACGCCTTTTCGATTCAGTTACTGATAAAATAAGTGTACATTGTATTAATTAGGGTATTAAATTACGTGTACATTGTACATTGTTTTTTTTAAAAAACCAATAAAAGTTATGTTCCTAACTTATTTTCACAGCATTGCGATCAATTAATACCTTATCTGGATAACCTTGATGAATTTATTTGTGGAGCTCATCCTGAAGTTCAAGGCGTGTTTCAGCAGCTTCGTTCATTGTACGCATAGCATTCTCATGTTGATACCTTGTTTATGAGGAAGTCAACTTGTGTGTACTTCAATTTGTTATCTACGCTTTTCATCCAAGAATTGCAGAATATTTTGTAACATATAGTTCTCATCATCTCCCTCCCGAAAACTAAGTTTTCTTGTGTTCACTTTCGGTGTCAAATTTACTCTAAGGAATAACTTAAGATTTCTCTGGGAGAGATATTTTTGGAACATCGTTTTGTACTTTTTAAACACTTGCATTTCTGGTTGTCCTTATTATGAAGTACTATGGCTTTTTAGCCTGAACGTTTTGTTTTCGCTAGTGTAGGGTCACTATCATCCATTCAGACGCTTTGGGATTGTAGCGACATAATGCAACTGAGTTGTTGACTTTGTGACTTTCAACACTTGTCTTATTAAGTAACAGTTTATTCATACCCCAAAACGATTTCGCTCTGACGCAAGTTTTTGTAATACGTGGTGTTCAGGCGGAAGTGTCCTATGCTTATTTCCTGGACATTTACTATTGTTTGACTGTTGGATGTGTTGCTTTTTTCAGTAAATATAGGTAATTGTTTGCCAAACTATGTAGCGTGACATCTGAGTTACATTCATTTGCACAAATTGCTATCAGTATCTTGCATCGACTAGGTTAACTTTCTGTCGTTGTTAGTTGTTCATTCGGAACTCACATCATCAGTTTGATGTGCTTCTCTTATTTTTCTGTTTATTTGAAGCTACTCCAGTTGCCTGAGTCGGTTCAAAGACTACCGATGAGCACTCAATAATCATTCGATAAAAAAACCCACACATGACCTTCAGTATGTTAATGTTAGATCCGAAAGCTATAACAATGTTAAGTGCGTATCTGGGATATTGAGTTCCGAATACTATGAAGTCAGAAATTGCGTAAAAAGGCAAGGTCTCTCACATTGTGAGTAATAGAGAACATAACATTGAAGCCTATTCAAAAGACTCCCTATTTAGGGAGAACAAGGGTTTGTAATGGTAGTGTTTAACACTTATTTAAATGATATGATGACCAACAGACTTTTACGTTTGAGCAAGTCTAATGTACATATGGTAGGAGACAAAGTCGTAATTTAGAATTACATATTGCAAATTCATTTAACAACCAAAGAGCTTTCACATACGAAGTTGTTTTTTTATTGAAACATGTAAGACTTGGCTTCATAAGGCTACTTTCGTTACACGTCTTTTCACACAAGGGAAGGTCTAGCAAGTTATTTTAATGTCTAGTTTAGATATGCTGAATAATGAGTACTGTATTTATCGCTGTTTCTGACTCGTGAATATTAAAAAGACATTATACAATTTGTTTTTAATTATTCCAATGTGAACAAGTATTTAACCGACAAAAACTTTCCAGTGACGGTCACTATGGTTTTCCTGGCTTACAGTTTGTTTAAATGCTTATGGGTATATAGAATGGTGTTACTACAACATGGAGAACCATCCACCATATGTACTCAAGGTCTTAGAAAGTTGAAATTCAATGGTTTAATGTTGAAAGATTGTCTTCATCTTATTTTGCTTTCTCGGTGTTAGTTGTGTAGCGGTAAATAAATTCTCGAAATAAATAGTTCTGTAAGTCTTCAGCATTTGATAATGACCTCATTAGTTTTAATGAACATGACCAGCTGGAGGGGCTCGGTTACGCATTTCATGCACCTGATAGCCAGCTTAGACTAAACTCTTATCGATAACCTTTCACATATATGTTCGAACCACTTCATTTCTGATTTAATTGGGTCGGCATACTCTAATTTTTAAAGATGTCCCTCTCTTTAACTCAACTTTAGGTGATCGACCTGGTTAAGTATAAACATCCCAGTAGCTGATATCGTGTGCTAGCTAAGGTGCGTTGCTACTCTCTCCTGCGCACTACTTCTAAGATTTGCCAGGTTTGGTTCCTTGCCTTAAAAGGTTTATCAAACTTGATTGGCAACAATTATAGACTTTTAAGCAAAGATGGTTAGTGGCTAGCAATGGAATCCGTTTGACCCACGTTTCGTCCTATTCAGGACTCATCAGCTTGATGTACCTGCATCATAGACTTGGTATTCACTTCGGTTCGTATCATTTGACTCATTCCCACTTTATATGAATAACCCAGGAGGAATTCTGGAATATTTGATTCTTTAGAAGGCGTCTTGCACACCAATCGTGGCAGGTTGGAAGCGTTATTGTGGAAAGTATTTATCATTTATAACAGTCAGCACACTATCATACGAAATAGCTTTATGTTTACAATTACATAGAGAAACGCTATAAGTAAGCTTTTAGCCCTCAAAGGTTACTAGAGTAACCAACGATAAATTCAAAATACATAATATTCTAAAAAAGGCTGTAGGGTGATAATTGTCTGCTAGCTTTAATTAAACATTGAATAATCTGAGTACGGCAACCATATAGTTGTGGTGACAGTGGAATTACACCCTGTCTTTGGGTTTCGCCTGGAGAAGTTGAATGGTGGGTGAGAAGCGAAAGGCTGACATGGGAGTAACTGTGCCGCTCCTCCATGTCGGCCTGGTCACTGTGTGTACTTCTTTATATCAAATATATTCAGTTAGCAAGACTACATTTGTTATTCAAAAGCAGTACCCGTAACTTCCACGATAAGGTCAGTCAGTGACGAAAGTGGTGTGACTGACGCAAGTTCATATAGACTAAACAGTTATATCACCTTCATTCAACGATATTATATTAAATACGTTTTTCTAGTGATATATCAGTGATACTCCTTGATTTTAAGTACTATCAGTATATTTGCCAACTGCTTATAGAAATTACAGGCATTAATGAGGATTTGACACGACCCAGCTGTTTAAATATTCTTATTTACGCAAATCCACCTCCTAATTTCTATGTCAATCGAACTGAGTAACTATTGTAAACCCCGTAGTGGTTTGTAATATCTTGGTCGTGTCTGTTAAGTGGCATGCCTCCTGTAACATAATGTTACATGAAAATAAATTGATATTATAGTTATAAACATTAGGGTTGGTAGACCTTATACTATAAGGCTGAAATCGAAATAACCGGCTTGTGCATCTTGTTTAAATACTGAAGTCGATCCGCTAAGTTTTACTACGATCATGTAACGGGTGAACTTACATAGCTTTACTCTGAACGTAAGTCATCCTAAGAACGCGTGGTTAGGCATATCTTAAGCTAGTGACCATGATATCCTCTTCTCTAATAAAATTGTTCCCATACTTGTCTATTCATATAGCTTTAGTAGCATACACTGCTGCCCTCAGATAAACATACTGTGATATCAAAATGCACGGACTATCAAACTGACTGGAAGTAGTTCAGTCCAGTGGTTGATCTACCCTACAGCAAACGTCATCAAAGACCTGAAACCATACTAAAGCAATATAGTCGAACATGAAGAAATAAGTTTGCACAAGATGTTTGCGAAGTTACCGGGTATTAGGACAATCCTTAGGCAAATAAGGCGGATAAAGTTAAAATGTTTAGGTATATGCATAATGATGAATCTCATTGAATAAAGTTGCGTGAATTGGATGGACATAAGAGTAGCCTCAATGATCTTAAAACTGGAATATTTTTGTCAAGGGAAATGACGTACTGAACCATTTGTCTTGTTTGGTCGTATCAACAGTTGTAATTGACATCATGTTTGTATTGTTTCACCAGTGGGTAAATTTGCTGTAGTTGTTAAATAGACAGATTCTTTCTTCATTAGTTCTGGTTTGGCAGTTAGGTATGGTCAATTGAATTGCGTCTCGTCCTCTGTAAGGACGTCCATATTTCACCCGTGACTATCTGATTTAGCAAGCACCTGGATTCATGTGGTTCAGAAAGTTGTCTTCTTGTAAGCAGCACGTCGCGGAGGTCATTCCGAAAAACGAACAGAACAGTGAAAATTTGGCCTATTTGTGTTTGTTTATGTATTGATTCAACGAATCCTAACCCGCGCTCTGATTTTTTCACACAAATGGTAGACTGCGAGTGGTGTAATAAAATTTAAGAGACAGACGAGACTTGGGAAGATAGATGATTTTTAGGACTTCACTGTTTTAATTGTCTATGCTCATGTAACCGGTTGCAATCCAGCACTATACATCTGTTTGTTAGAAATCAAACTTTGGGTAATAAACTGGTAGTATCTCTGCATAAACTGACTCATGGTAATTCTATTCAACTTAGCGCATAAGTTTTCCGCATGATTTCACCATGGAAGTAGTGGCTTTTTAGGGTCCTAAGGTTAAGAAAGGGCAAATATCGCAAACAACAGTCAAAAAGGCTTTGAAACAGTAAATCTGAAGCCATACTTAACTACCTAAGATTTATCTCGGTAATCTACCGGCTGTTGTCTGAAGAAGTCAGTTTTCTGATCTCCCTTCCTTGTCTTGTCCTTAAATTTACTTGTCTTAGTAATTCATCCATGCCATGTGTTACTCTCCATCAATCATAAAAGCCACTTGTATCTCGCAGAGGGATCAGAACGTAACACCACTGAGTCACCTTTTCTTGTACTTCTCTGTGATTGGAACCATTTGTATCCTCGTCGAAATGAAGATTCGCTGTCTTCGGACCACCGCTTCCGAAACACGTATGACAAATATTCCACCCGTCTGTCACTTCATAGAGTAACACTGAATCCGATTTCACTGTCTTGAGACAGCTTGGACGTTGCTATCACCTTGCAATCATTTGAATCATCCGTAATAGGAGTCAGAGGTTTATTATTGACAATACTCCCGGCTTCTCCAATGAAGGTTCCAAGGCACTGATCTGTCAAAAACCGAATATTTATGAAGGCACCTAGTGCCTTACGAATAGAGCTAACCATACGTCCTCAGTGAGGATTGAGGTGCCAAACGATTCCTTTCCAAAGCAACCCAACATGTGCAAGCTCCTGTATTTATTCCCAAAGATATCTTATTCGTTCACGGTCAACTCCCATGACACTTGATCTTTTATCACTACATCTCTCTCTTGGGTAGCCCTTTGTACTGTCAAACCTCATCAATGCATTGCTAAACGAGTCAATAGAAAAGCTATATAGGACCTACAGATGGAGAGTGCACAAATTTAATCTAGTAAATATAGCACCGTGTTTCTCAAAAGTTCTCCTTTGGGTTCGAAATAATCTATCCTCGCTGGTGTGAATGTGTAGTCACTGTAGCGATGAATAAATCTGGGTAAGTAGTTCTGAAACTCTTCGACATCGATGCCGACGCACTTCACTATCCTGCAGAACGAAGGATTCCATGGTTAACCTGAACATCAATGTTTTTATTACAATACCAATATGAAAATTTCTTTGTAGTCCATGAAAATTATCGTACACACAGTCACGTAGTTCAAAATCGAACACTAAACTACGAATGCTTTTTAGCAGAGATGGATAGTGGCTAGCAGTGGAATCCAGGACGCGCGTTTCGTCCTATTTGGGACTCGTCAGCTGGATGTACCTGCATCTCAGAGTTGATGTTCACTCTGGGACTCGAACCCAGTACCCTCGCTTCAAACGCCATCGCGTTATCCACTCGGCCACTGAGTCCTGATAGCCACTTGCTTGTGCGACTGACCAGTTGCAGTCCTAACAAATCGATGGGAAGATTCAAACAAACAATACTAAGTTGAATTTTACGAATGCTTTTGTTTTCGAAGAGTTCTTCTGATTTCTTGTGCGTCATCATTTTGTCAGGATACATTCCTGGGCCACCCTCAAGACGACATTATAATTCCTTTATCTTCAGTGTTGAGATTAACAATATTATCAGCATCACTACACAATTCAGAAAACAGATCATGCTCAGTAAGTACTCACACAGACAATAATAAAAATCAAGGTAATATAGATGTTCGTAGCCCACAACAAACACTTGCGTTAGTTGTGAACCCTGAAAACAGGAACACTTTTTAACTAGGTTTATATTAATTTACACTAGTTCATCTATAGATTGTATCATATCGAGATCATCATATTATCTTGTATATCGGGTACATTTTACACCTTGGAGGTAGATCTTGAATTTCATTTAAACGTTAATACATACCCTTCGTGAACTTTTCTAAATATTTTATTAGCCTTTAACAGTCGACAGTAACTGGTTTCTGTTCACTGATTATACCAATTGAATCAAAAAATCCTCAATTGTTAGCTACTGTCACACTTAATAACTTGGCGCATAATCTCTAAAATCCTTCATGTTCACACGATCACTGATTTTAGTGTTAATCTGGCTTATAATCAGTAACTATGTATTCATATATTTTATTTAGCTAACGAGCTCTTTACTCACCCAGCTTCCAACTATGAATAGTGATTCCAGTAAGAGACAAATATCACATTCTTCTTTTAAACAAAACAAACTGTAGAAATCTGCAGTCCCTATTCCTGAAGAATTAGTACTTACAAAGTCAAAACTTCATCTTGTGAACTCTACTCTTATTTGTAACTATCTTTGTCGCTGCCTGATTTTCTGCGTGACAACCCCTCCATCTCTCCGAGCGGTATGCCAACGGTAAAACCAGTTGATACAAAAAGTACGGTACCCATGTATACTGAAAAGTCAGCACAGCATATCCATCAGCATGGTTTAATAAGGCCGAAATCCAACATTTCGGAAACTAATGAGTTCAATATTTTACCTCATGCACACCAAAATACTGATAACTATAGTACTGATATCCGTCAGTCACGAGACTATCTTGCCGAAATTATTGATGAACCCAACCAGATAGCACCGCACACACATACATGGGCCCTTAACCTCAAATAACCCACTGACATCAGACGTACAGTAGTACCTCCTCATAATGCAGCTTCATACAATTTCCCTGACAGTACACTCCTCAATAAGCTAAGGGGCATTTGACTCCGAGCACGTTGTATGCTGAAAGTCAACTACCAAGTCATCCGTCTTAGAAAAAAGTCGGACAAATCAACGTGCTCTCTCCTATTTAAATTTAGCCGCTGTGTCGGTGCTATTAAGTATATTAGTCTGATTAATTATATTAACTCATTGATTCAATATAAAAACGTGAGGCTCACTCCAGATATAACATACTGTCAACGTCCTGTGAGACGATGGGATAGCATGATCACCTAACAGCAAATAACTGACTGGAAGCAGTTCTCAACACTTTAAAAGTTTTAAGTAAATGTACAATGAGCATGATTTGAATACGCGAACGACATATCACTCTGTAGACCTAAGTGAGTCCAAATATCAGAAACCTCTGAACAAGATATGGATTCCAACTGGCACTAGGGAAAGTAACGATATTATTAGTAATAACCCAAGATGTTTGTGTAGTAAAGTACTCAGATATGAACCATGTGACGACGCACAACCAAATGAACCTAATCAAGTAAAAACTGGTCCTCCCAAAGATATTACACAAGATGACCCGGAAGAATTTGAATTCAACCCACACATACAAATAAACTATCCAGATCCGGCGAAGAAGTGTGAAAAGGCGGAATCCACGATATCAAAGGAGGGACTGAGTATGATTCAACGCAACTTTTCAACAGCTCTCTCCTAAACACTGAACACATTTTCCCCGCTGATATCATATAACGTACTCTCAACCCCTTCAATTTGAAAAACTAGCGGTTGGAACAAGTATAACAAACCTTTGAACGCTCAAACTAGTGTTGGAGGTACCATTCGTCCAATAAAGCTTAGAACTATTATAACGAGGCATGTCGCTCAAGTCGTTTCGCACATAAATCTTAGAAGAGTTCAAATCTCTAAACAAATTTGTTACATGGTTACCACCAGTATGTAACACTGGGTTATTTCGATCCTTGAATTCCTCAACACCACACTTTAGACTCGAATTGAGTGATCTAGCTATGTGACCTTTTCTTGAACACTAATAATAACGACCACATTTCCTTACTCCCTGCCTTATTTACATAACGTCCATCATCGGTACCGCCATACAG